CTTTAGAAGGTGAAGAAGCACCTTCAAAGGAAGAATGGCGCAAGTGGGAGGATGTCAACAACCTCAAGGCTAAGAAGGGAGCCGCTGCAGATGCAAATGGGGCTCCAGCTCAAGAAGAAATTGAAGGAGTGCCCTCGAAGGGAGAATGGAGCAAGTCGGAGGATGCTGACAATCTTCATGGCCAGCCATGGCAAGCTCAGTGGGATGCCTATGCCATTGGACAAGGCCGAGTGCCATCCGAGAGTGGGTGGGTTGTTGGTATCAAAGACCCTGAGAAGTTCCTCTTCCGTGAGGCGAAGCAAAGTTCCTTTGCCATGGGAGTTGCTCCCCGCAGTGTCAATTTCTTGGCAATATTCTGTGGCCTACAGGCGCTACAGGTGTTGGTGCGCTAAGGTTTGATTGAGAAGCGGTCGATACTCCTATGTTGAACATGGATAGAGCCGCTTAGGGCAGTTTCAATGAGCAAAGCAGCTCCAGCTGAGCCTTATAATTCGTTCCGCAGCTTTTGAGCAAACACTTTTACTTCTGAATTGGCCTTCCAAGCTGTTGGCTTTCGAGATTGTTTTGACAGCTCAATCTTCACATGTGCTAGATGCGCCACCGCTGATGTACAGAGGGTGGTTGTGCTTCTGGTCGCAACCTTCAACGCTGAAGGCAAAGACAGGCAAGCGCGCTGACATGCGCTCCCCCACCGGGCCAACGTGTGAAAAGATCGTGCGGTTCGTTTGGCGTTCTCACCCAGCCCTCTGAGTCACATGTTGTTGTCCAGATCAAGCAGCCGGGCTGCCCGAAATGAGAGCGTTTCAGACTCCGATGCACGGAGCGATGATGTTCCGTCGACGGCACCAAATTTGGAATGAATCCTGTTCTGAACCTGGTTTTTTGAGGTTTGCTCATCACGTTCCTATTTCATGTGCCTAGTTCATGTGCCGTCAGCCTTTGGTTTTTCAACACGCTACGACCTCAGGCCACGCTATGGTTTTAAACCTGACGCAGGATGCTCAGAGACCGTCAGTTGCGCCCACGTTCAGTGCGTTGTTGTTGTTCTGTTTTTTCTTTGTTCCACCCCTCAAGAATTCTGGGAGACTGAGGTGACTATCTGGTTGACTATCTAGCCATCAGATTCTGATATGATTTTTATCCATGGGTTGTATCTAGACGTTGAGTCTGGCCTATTCCCAGTCCTTTTTTCAGTCTGGCCTGCAACTGAACCATTCTCATCCGCTGGCCCTGGTAATCAACCCAACCTAGACGGTATTTCTGATGCGGTTTTTCCTTGAGCCATACTCAATGCCACTGCCACCCTTGCTCTCCCCACTCCGTGGGACATCGTTTCATGGCTCAAGAAGTGCGAAACTGATCTGTGCTTGATTGGACCATGCGTTTGTCTTGCCAAGAAGTTTGACTCTGTAGGCAGTTTTAGGTCAAAACTGTTTTTTTGAATAATTACAATGATGCCGCGCCATTCCAGTTGTAACCAGGTGCCTTCCATTTTGTAAGTGGGTCTTAGGTATGAGGATTACCACGCATGTCTTCTTAGAAACAGCTGGTCTTCGTTGTCTTATCGTTTTTCGCGAACGCGCCAAGGCCGAGGGGTTGGCCGAGATGAAGCAGGTCGTTGCCACGATGTCAAAGACTGACACAGAGGCGATGCGTGGATCCAAACGACCAGGACCTTCCACCAAGTCCGGAGGTTTTGGGACACCTCTTAACTTAACCTCTAAGAGGCGATGCATAGACACCTCTTGGTGAGGCTAGTCCTGGCACATGACATGTCGGACCTGGCCGTCTTCTGATTCTGTCAGGAGTCAACTCAGGTGTTCTTAAACATGGAAAAGGTCAGTGGTCTCGGTCTTTTCATGCGCTCTGACCTGGCGAGAATGAAGTGAAGAGCCAGTTGAATGAAAGGCCGGGAGAGATGAACATGGAACCTGGCTGGACCTTTTGAAAGACGTAGTTTCTATAGAAACTACAGTGGTTTTCAGGTTCCATGCGGGTCTCTTCCACCAGGGTGGTAAGAAACTACTTCGGGTCTGAAACGCCCCATGTTCTGCCCTGTTCACCTGCCTTCGGACTGAGCCGCTTCGCTCTCCAGAAGGGCCTCCGACGAACGGACGACCCATAAGACGACCCGACCGATGGCACCGGATCCCACGTTACACGAACGAAAACACACCAGGAGTCAGCTAAGGGATGGTGGACATCGTCCCATCCAGTGGTTGGGAAACCCCCCTTGCCTCCGGTTCGTTCGGCACCCCGTCGAGTTCGTGACCTGGCATGCGTCCACACCCATCTCCGGAAGGTTCGGGGTCTATGTCCCGAACCTTCCAGCGGGTTCGGGTTCCGCCTGCGGTTCGGTCTTCCTATTTCACATCGCCAATCGTACCCAGATTGACAGAGCGCTGATCACAGCCAGTGGAAACCACTTCCGAAAGGTGTGAATTTTTGGCCTGTTAGAGGTAAAGGGGTCTCCAGGAACGCGGGCCCTGGCATTGACCAATATAGGCCAAGATTCCATCAATCAAGAGTCTACATCAAAAAGATGTTCTGGGATTGAATCGAGCAGGTCCATTGACTCCTGTGGACGGTGGGTCGTTTAAACAGGACCAGTTTGCACAGCAAACTAGCGAACAAATTCTCCTCCCCCCTTTGCAAAGGCAATTGACCCCTCCCTGAAACCATCCCTGGCGACGCGAACCACACCTTGTTTGGAACCATGGGACCATGGTCCTCCAATGAGGACGTTTCAGGCAATTTAATCAAACAAACCTCCTTAAAAAGCGTGCTGGTCGCAGTCTATGTCTACCTTGAACCTGAAATTGACCTCTGTTTTGGAGCCAAAACATTGAATGGTCAAATGGGTTCTAGGTACATTTTTACATGTTGTGCATATCTTTACCAGCTCATCGTGACCCCGTGACCCCCTTTGTGCGAGGTCCGTCGGACACAAATGCAGATCACAGCAGCAGCCGGTTACCCAGGAAGACGGTGCTGCTTGAGGTCTGAGATGCTACAGCCAACCTCCAGAACCTTAATTTGTCCTAGTTTTTGGAAGGAGAGAGGGCGAAGTGGATTTCAAGGAAAACTGAAGGGGACATGTTGGCGTTGGGTTGTTCTATGCGTTTCTACAGAGTTGCTTTTGGGTTCCAAATGACAGGGTACAGAATATTCTGGTGATGAACCTGTTCATCGCCCAAACGTGCTTAACCAGATGGCCAGATGAGTTACCTAAAGGCCTGGCACTTAAAGGCCTTGGTGCTGAGAGGAAATTGGACGAGAGAATTTGCATGGCGAGTCCAAGAGGTTCGACTCGATGGGAGTCCATATAAATCACCGAACTTGGGATCCTTTTGGGGTGGAGCTCTTACCTTCTGGGAAGTTGCTCCTACTTTTGGGATCCTTTTGGGGATTGTGCCATCTACTCTGAAATCACTGATCTACAGGTTCGGAGATCAGTGATGGGTACTCCCCTGTAGAGGACCGCATGGAAACCTCAAAGCCGGTTCTAGAGGAAAAAGGTCGAAACCACGGGTCAATTCTCAGGTTCCATGTTAGTTTGCCGGGGGTAATTACATGTAAGTACTATGCATATACTATTAATCAATGCTATCTTGCAGGTTCACAGATGGTACGATCACTTTTCTTGACCCTTCACAGTTGCGCTCTTAAACCCAAACAGCCCCATCTTGGTGATTTATGGTATTCACTAGTGTTGTGAGTTTGAGGTAGGCCACAAAAATATGAATTTAAGTTATTTTCTTTTATGATTTTGTTATGTTTTTTTTTTACGTTTTCCTTATGATTTGGTTACGATTGACTTTATGAAATTTTATGACTTTTTGGTGGGTTTGTTTTTTGGATATGATTTGCTTATGGTTTCGTTATGCTCTTTGAGGTCTGCAATTTCACATATACGGAGCCTTTTGGGTTGCAAAACATGGTAGTTGAGATGTGTGTTCAGCCAAACTTGTGGTGTATTTTCACAAGATTTCCTCTGCTACAAAGAAAGAAAATACATTTTTCAGAAAAACATGGTAAACTGCGAAAATCTTTGTTGCTCTGCAAGTCTCTTGGTCCGTTTTCTGGTTGGTTTTTATGCAACTAAAAACTACTCAGGAATAGAATAGTCTCTATTGTATGATGGGTTTTGAGAACTAACTAGTGACTAGTGACTAGTGTTCCCAAAGGAACCTCTTCACTAATGAAGGCAGAGAGGAGTTGGCCTTCATACATGAGTTCCCACCTTTCCTAGGACAGCGCACCTCTGGGTCTAGTACACACCTTGGCCTAGGGCCTAGGACAGTAGGTTCTATACTAGGCCCTAGGCCCTAAACTACCCATCCACCCATGGCCTGGGACCTGGGAACTGCCAGCAATCCATATCTCAGAACCATTGGTCGTCTGAAAGCATAACAAAAACATAAGAAATCCATAAGGCCCTGCATAACAAAAGCATATCAAAATCATATCAAAATCATAAAAACATGGGTCTGGGAATTAGTTTTGTGATTTTGTTATGATTTTGATATGATTTTGTTTATGATTTTGTTATGGTTTTGATATGGTGGGCTGCAGGTGGTCTCACCCTGCCTGGGTCACTTCAAAAATTTGACGCTTGAGGTTTAGGGTTTAGGGTTCAGGCTTTAACCTTTGGCCTAGGGCCTAGGACACGCCTGGGGGAGTACACCTTTCCTTCGGGTCACTAGGACAGTACACCTTTCCTTCTCTACTACACACATTTCCTTCGGGTCCTAGGCAGAAGGATTTGTAAGGCAATAGCTCAATAGCTACTAATAAGCTAATCAACAGAAAGGACGCCAAGCGTCCCTACGTTGCTTGGGCATGAGCATTGGGGTGCCTCCTTGGAATGTTCAACAACTTCCCTTTGCTGGTGAAGCTTACTTACTTAGTTTCTTAACCAAACCACTATTTTTCAAGTATGCAAACATATTCGCACCATATTTTCACAACTATATGGCGATCTTTTAGAAGTACTCAAAAAACACTCTCAAACCATATCTTTTTCATAATACTTTTTTGGTGGCAGTTTAAAACCATAAGAAAATCATAAACATTTTCATATCAAATTCAAGGGCTCCTTAACACGCATAAAGAACACCATAAAAAAACATAACCCACAGTGTATCAAAATCATAACAAAATCATAAAAGAAAATAATCAATGAAAAATTTTTTGGCACTAACCTCCAACTCACAACACTAGTGAACCACGGGTCAGGCGAAGCCTCATCAGCATGAGCAGGGGAATGTACGGAGCGGTGCATGTGAGCGGCCCAATGTTTGAAGAACCTGACGGTCCTGGACCACCGAGCGGTTCCGAAACCTCCATGGAACCTGAAAACCACGTCGGATTGTAGAAGATTGGATCGTCTTCCAGTCCTGGTGGTTGCGGGTTCCTACGGTTCCTGGCTTGGCCGGTCACCCGTTTTTTTTCCGTTTCAACAGCGAGGGCGCGCTGCTCGACCCACAGAGCCCACGGATGGAATGGGAATGGAATGGGGTAGAGGACGTGGAGCACCCAATGGGGTACGGGTAGATGAAAGGACCAGGTACCCCAGGTGGATGATGTGGATGATATGAAGCTCCTCATCCCTGGGGTATCAGGTACAGGATGCCAGTCTGGTGGATGAAAGGACCCAGAAACCTCGATTCTGTTCACTCCAAAAATGGCGCAACCGGGTGGCCGGCCAACCCACATGGAACTGGGCGACCGGGCAACCACCAGACTGGAAGACGGCTTTTCCTCTACAATCCGACGTGGATTGGACACACCCATTGTATCGTTATGTTGGATATTGAAAGTGAATGTATTCTCGCTTTGGGGGGACCACTATAGATAAACGATGATAAGTGCTAAAACTTCTTTGTAAAGGCATGTGAAGAAGGCTTGAGACTCTGAGCAACTGAGGTCATGAAGAAGTTCAAACTTTGAGAGAGCTTGCGCATGCAAACGCGCTGACCGTGCGTTGGCGTTTCGCCGCCTGTGCCAAGCATGAAGTCTTGGTGAAAAAAAAAAGAACACACAAAACTGGCGACGACGTCGTGGTGCATGATCAGTCCAACGATCTGATGTTTCAGTTCCAACCACCATCTCAGAGTTTCAATCCCCCAAAAAGGAACTCCATTGACTTCCTTAGAGTCGAGTCAAAAAAACACACGATTTCTGGTGTGATGACGACTGGTTTAACCGGTTTCTTGAGACGAACACGTCGGCTTCGAATCTGAAGACACGAGATCTTGACCCGTCAGGGACGAACCCCCACGTCGCCCTACAACCCTTGCGCAGGTTACGAGCCCTACAACTTGCCGATGGGAGGCCTTCACTTCCTGGGTTGGCTGGGTGATGCTGGGAGATGGTTGAAGAGCTCTATAGCCGCATAGCCCAGAGCAGATCCCATTGGATTGGGTGAATTGGCTGGGGGAAATGGCGGCTGCGGCTTTTTTCCACTGCAGTGGGCCCGAAGTATGGCTCAATCGTGGTCGAAACAGAAGAACCACCACCCTCGGCCATGCGGAACCTGAGCAAGAGAGGACCCAGTTGGTCTCACTCCTTTGTGGCTTTTGCAGGCAGACTGTACCCTTTGACTCACTCACATGGAAGTGGATGGCACCACCACCTGTTTGTAGAGGAACTTCGGTCGTCCCAGTGGCCATTTTCGCCATGTGACGTGTTGAGTCAGAGCGTAGCCCCAACAAACGCGGCTATTGGAGGAAGAAGCCCATCGGCGAATGAAGAAATGAAGACCCCCCCCACACGTTGGGTCCCTTTCCCGACGTGAGCTGCGAGCTGCGAGCGGCACCCAGCCATAATTTGTTTGAGATCACAAGCTAATGGCTGACGTCGAACCACCATGTTTGGAAATTGGAACCCAAAGTTTTCATACCTAGAGCCCATTTGTGTGACCTCCATTTTGGACCACCAACCATACCGTAACCAAATGTGGTCTTTTTAAGTATTTTTCATGTCTTTTTCGTGGTAATGTTTTACATCCTCTAGGTCACGCGAAAACCTCGACCCAAAGCTGCGTGGATCGCCTTTGCTTCAGGATATCCCCAGCCCATGGAAACGACGCCGGGCTCTAAGACATGTGTGGAACGAAAAGAGTTGACTTCCAAGTGTTTTTATATCCAAAAACTCAGCCGAAGAGACAATCAAAGGATTGGAGTGGTTGGAGTCTCCTTCATCCGTTCACCCAAAAAACAGCTTGCACATCTACTAGCAGCCTAGCTCTTTTGCACGTTGGGCTCTAATAAGCAGCTCTCCAGATGTGATCTGAAAGCAACCCCAGATTTTTGCAGATCCGAGGCCAGCACATGCGTCACTCAGCCTTGCTTTGATGACAGGGATGACAGGGATGACAGGGACATCACAACTCAGAGGACTCGGATAATTCTCTAGTCTATTTCCATTGTAATCATCATCAAACGAGTGGGGAGGCAGCTCCGCAAACTCACATGGACCCGGGGTGGGACCGGCACCCTCAGTCAGACGGTGTTCCTTCACAAGCCAGTGGTTGGAGAAGGGTCCGTGTGAGTTTTCAGCGGGTTATACAGGGTAACAATTCCTGATAGTTACTATTTCATTTTGCATGCTTTTCGTTGGTCAATGATTTTTGGGGATTGGGGACACCCCACTAAATATGGACCGATGGAAAAAGGTTAAACGGTTAACCCTTTTCTTCAGTTGATGTTTTTTTTGTTCATCTCCATGCTGTCAGACGCCTCAATACGACAGACGCCCCACATGCAGTTTTGCTCAAGGCTCTCGATTTGTTTTGGATCTTGGATCACTTCTTGTTGTGGGTCATGGCAGCCCCTGGCACACCTCCAGCCCCTGAGTCCCAGGAATTCAGGGACCTGGTCTCTTCGAAAACCAAGGCTGCGGTCCTGAGTCGTCTTCCAAATGTGTCTCGACATTTGGTGTTTCTGGCCTGCAAATGGATCATGGAGAGCTTTGCCTTCGGCGGCAGTGACTTGACGCCCTCCAGCTTGTCCTTGGTGCTGGCGAAGACTCATGCATATCGACGGCGTGGGTCGAAAGACACCAAGAAGTGGCTCAAGGAGATCCTACGAACCATGCACGAGGAGCCTGGCATTCGATCAGGCACCCACTACATGGGGCAGCTCACCCTGACGCAGAGTGGAAAGCCAAGCGTCACAGGCAACAAGAATCTCCCATTGACCAAGCAGGGAGCTTTTGTCCTCCTGCAAAGGTTGATGCCTGATCGTGACCGAGTGGACTTCTCCAACATCATGTGGGAGGCGATGAGGTACATGTATGGAGCCTACTCCGCGCTGAAAGCTGAGTATGATGACTACAAGGCTGACAAAGACCAAGGAATGGCGCAGCAACGAAATGCTGCAGATGCTTTGCTCAATGTCGCCAGCGCAACATTGAACGTGAGCAAGCAGGTTGCGAACCGGAAGATCATGCAAAAGGCATACAAAGAAGGGAGGAGGTGCATGTTGAGAGGGCAACACCCCAAACAGGCCATGATCAAAGCCAACCTCGCAAGGCGTGGTCAGAGAATCCCTGCCATCCACCACTGTTTCACGCCATTGGGGGCCTCTGCCGATGCGTTTCGCACCCTGGCAATGGCGACCGTGCTGAGCCACGCCCAGCCTGCCATTGCCGAGTTGCACGGTCCCAGGGCGAAGAAGAGGAAGATGGATGAGACCTTTGACACCGTCACCAACCACTTCCTGCGGAACAAGACTTTCGAGCTTCCACTCCTCAGTGAGACCGAACAAACCAAGGCATACTTTGAGAGCCAACACCAAGTAGCAAGGAGGGCCTGACGGATGCGGCGGCTGGCGGAGTCATTGAACTTTTTGCAGCATGTGCAGTAAGCGGCAGATGGTTCACCAACTCACTAGGCGCCGGTCGTGTTTGTCCTACTAGCCTGCTGCAACAAGAGTTGCTTGTACAGGTTCACTCGCAACCATTTCATGTCTTGTTCATGGAAGCGGTCTAGGCACGCGCATGCCTGGGTCAAAAGCTTCCTGCACCCGGCCGCACCATGGCAGCCAAAAAGAATTGCCTGACACAGGAGAGGGTCACTTGGAGGATTAGTGAGAGCCTTTTGGAGGGAGCAAGAGAAGCTTGGGTAAAAATGGAGGAAGCAATTGGAGGTTTACTTGCTATCGAGAAGTCTTCAGAAGGTGCTGGCCATGTGCTGGCCATGCTTCCCATTGATCCAATTTCCCACGTTTGTCCCGTCGCGTGATGACCCGGCGGAACGGGGATTTCTCCCTGATCTCCATGGGCGGCGGCACATCTCCGAGGCATTTTGCAATTCTGGAAATCATCGGCACGGGATATCCGTCGTATGACGGGATTTCTCGGGACATCGTGAGAATTTCTCTTGGAAGCTGTCACAACCCTTGATCTTCTTCCAATGCAAGCCTGGCAGCACTTCCAAGTGCCATCAGAACGAAGCCGCCCAACGGGCCGCAACGGGCCGTAACGGGCGTTACCCGTACGGCGATCCACGTGATCATGCCAGGTCTCCGTACCTAGAGCATCAGGACGTACCGTGGAGAGGGAGGTTGACGAGGGACTCTACAGGTCTGTTGGACCTCATTTGACTGGACGTGGACATACAAAACACGACTCATATGAGATAAAAGAGAAGGTTTGGACCTGGGTCGGACTGGACTTGTAGGGAATTCTCAGAATTGGGTGGAGCAAGTTGTTTTTTCACATCTCTTCACAGGGCTGTTGGGCTGTTGAGAGATCTTACTTGCCTTGAAGCCGCTGGATTCTTCTTGCCGGTGGGATGGTGCTTGGAAGGGTAAACGTGGGAAGAGAAGCAGCATATAGAAGTCAGTTCGACGATATTTTGACCGACTAAAGGATATTCCTTTTCGGGTCACCTAGTCAGACCATTCTTTTTATCTATCTTTAACTCCCAGGGTGTATACTCTGGAACTAACATGGAAGTGGACAATCACCTGTTTGTAGTGGATTTTCTTTTTATCTATAAGTCTTTGACTCCCAGGGGTGTATATTAGACTCCTTCACTCTCCTTTCTATCTCGTTCTTCTACCCGAGCTGAAGCCGAGCTTCACCGTAATGACCCCTCGGCTCTCGTACCGTACGGAACCGGGGGGGAACCGGGGGACCTGAAGACCCACATGACTTGTGCGGCACCGTCCTCTGCTGACTTCGTGCCGACTGACTTCGTGCCTTCTGCATGACGGGTTTTCCTGCTCTCTCCGTGTTTCTCCGGTCACTTGGTGGTGGGCCGAAGTCGTCGCAGCCGACTTCCCGACGGTTCCCTTACTTTCGTCGGTCCGTCGGTCCGCAGTGAGAAGATCCGGCTGGGGGTGAGTGACTGACCTGGTGTTTGATGGTACCTGGAGTTGATCAATGTTCATACAACTCTATACATCAACATCTAGGACCAAAAACATGAACTAGAGGACCAGGGGACTCCTAACATCGACTTCTAACATCTATCAGGACCAGGGGACTCCTTTGGACGGTCGACCTTCCGAACGCGCCCGCGGACGTCCGTTTCGCCGGACGCGAAGGGTCGAAGGTTCGGAGCGGTCGCAAACCGCGGCGAAAGACTGGTCGCCGCTGCTTCCAACGGGTCACCTGGCTGGAGAAGCCTTAGGCCCTATGACTACTAAGAACCAGCAGTCACAAAGGGGTGCTTAATGGAGGTTAGGGGTGCCCATTTTCCACTCACTTAGGGACTAACAACCACCCCTTTGTGACTCCTGGAATATATTAATCTTTTTTTTCTAAGGTCTCCAGACAGGGTGAGCTCAGACAGGAAGTGCGATTGGTTTTCACATCTGTATTTCCGATGGGTGAGGCTAGAGGATGACTCTATTGACCTATCCAACAAAGAGTGGAACATCGGGAAGCTGTTTGTGAAGGAAGGCTGTTTGTTCACGAAGCCATGAAGCGAGGGACCTGGAGAGAGGGTACCCCACTTTTGATCAAGAATCAAGATGTTCCTATAGCCTTCCAAGAAACGAAGTAGCTTGAGCTACCTGAGTTCTCCTTGCTTT